GTGACTGGGAGAACCATATCCTCAGATAAACTGATTCAGTACAGCATGTTGATTTTAAAATCAGGAAAGTGGCCATGCAAAAGCAGGAGAGACAGGAAGCATGTTCATTAATAACCATAGCTAAATATAATCAATCAGACAGAAGAAAACACAGGTATGAAAACTGTCCTGCCAGAGAGGACAAATGTCATTTTTGCAGAAAGACAGGTTATTTCTAGGCTGTGTGCCATTTGCTTGTACGGAATATGCATAAAAAGTCTTTCAAAAGGTGACAAAATCCATGATATTGAGATACATTGCTTTGGAGAGCACCAGGAACCAAACGGAAGCTACTGAAGTGCCACTATCCCAACAGCAGGAAAAAAAAGCATTGCACTTTAAGTTAGATGCAGGTGGAACAGTTTTGCTCTTACTAAATCACAGCTGGAGAAAGGTTCTGTTGAGTCATGCAAAAAACTAAACAGGGCAGGACGTGTAGAACTTAAAGTTATCGGACAACTGAATGTGCAAACCTCCAATATTGAGAAGGAATGTTACAGTAACCATTGTGTGTGAAATAGAACAAGAACTGCTCACACTTAAACAGGAATGTATTTGCTGACTTTGATTTAATTTAAAGAATAGAATAACTGGAAAACCAAGATGATTAGCCTACAAACCTTAAACTTCAATTTCCACAGATATTCACAGGACTAGAAAAGCTGAAGACAGCATACAACAGCATATCACATCCTGAAACAAAGTCTGTTTTCACCCAGATCATTTTGATATCCAATCTGTTATGGGAAATAGAAGAAAATGGGCTCTATGTTGAAGAAAGACTTATTTATCTGTGACAGAGAAACAACCTAGTCCTTGGGGATGGTCCCAGTGGCAAAACCAATGGATCTATCAGGATTTGTGGAGATCTTATACAGTCAAACAAAACATTTGAATGCAACATTTACTCTGTCATCTATGGTTGGCAGCTTAGTAAAACTGGGAAAAAAATTTCAGTCTTCACAAACACAAACAGAAGTTGCTGGAAAAGCTCAGCAGGTCTGGCAGCATCTGTGAAGAAAAAAATCAGAGTTAATGTTTTGGATCTGGTGACCCTTCCTCAGTCTCCACAAAGTCAGATGCAAATACCTTTTGGTGAAGAGTTTAAATTGCGCTTAGTCTTAATCACACTATTGATTCCATATTACTCTTTAACCTCTAAAAGATCCCTTTTAAGATGCCAATGTCAAGCATCCTACATAGGACTAGGCAGTGTATTCTGTGACGTGGATATTGTCCTGATCTGCAGATCAACTCACACACATTGTAATACCACCATTACCTGCCAAGAATTTAACAGTAAATGCAAATCCACCCAACTGTCAACTTCTTTGGGCACATTCTGGATTCATCTGTTTTCAGAGTTAATTCACAGGAGACAGGAACAATCAAGCAATTACCACCTCTGGGACTGAGCTCCAATGTTTCATAGATACAGTAAATAAATTCAGAAGGTTTTTGACCAACTTAGCTGTCAATGAGTCACTTCAAGTCAGTTTTATGACAAGACATGACGCTGGGAGGAAGCACAACAGAGGTCTTTTGAGAAAATCAGAGAGATGCAGGTCTTATTTGATATTTTAGCTTACTATGACCCAGAATCACCAAATAACATTACTGCAAACATATCTCCTACAGGACTGGGAGCTGTGCTCTTTCAGATACAGCTGGATGAAAAGCATAGAACTTAGAACCATACAACATAGAAACGGGCCTTTTGGCTCGACATTTCTATGCCAACGAACAAACACCAAACTACACTAATCCTATTTACCTGCACTTGGTCCAATGCCCTGGCATTGAAGTGCTCATTCAGATGTTGTTTAAGTCATGCAAAAGTACCTGCCTCTGCCACCCTCTCCGTACTTCCCCCACCCTCTTGATGAAAAGTTTTCCTCAGATCTCCTCTAATCCATTTACTCTTCACTTTAAACTTATACCCTCTGGTCTTGTGCAAGTCTGCCACGGGAAAAAGATTCTCACGACCTACTCTGTCTATGCCTCTCATAATTTTGTATACCTCAATCAGATGCGCCTTCAGCCTCCTCTGCTCCAAAGAAAACAAACCCAACCTATCCCTTCTCTGCTCATAATGGAGTCTTTTCATCCCAGGCAACTTCTGCACCCCTCCAGTGTAATCCTTCTGATAGTGCGGTAACCAGAACTGCACACAGTAATCCATCTGTGGCCTAACCAATGTTTTATAACATTGAAATGAGACCTCCTTGCTCCTATATTCTATGCCCCAGCCAATGAAGGCAAGCATCTCACATGCCTTCTTAACCACCATCCACCCGTGCTGACACTTTCAGGGATTGTTGGACTTGTACACCAATATCCTGTTGTTCTTCAGCACTCCCTCCAGACCCACCATTCATTGTGTATATCCTATCTTACTAGACCTCCCAAAATGCATTCTTTCATAGTTATGAGGATTAAATCCCACCAGCCGTTTCTCTGCCTGTGCAGCTGAACTTAATTTCCTATCAGCAACAGAGTCTGAGTCGAGATATGCAGTAATAGAGAAAGTAGGATTGGCTTCTACTTGGGCTTGTGAAAAGTTTGCTGCTTATGTTCAAGATCTTCAATTCAAGTAAAGACAGAATAAAAAGACTTAATGGCACTCTTAAATTATAAAGAGAAAACAAAAATATTTTCAAAGTACAATGATTCAAACTGAAAGAGATAAGGTTTGATCCAACTACAGAATATGTGCCAGGAAAGCTGTAGACCATAGCATATGCCTTGCACAAAGCGAAATAGTTTGTGTTGAAAGTAGAGAACCATTTACATCAGCAACAACCACCACTCTTATCAGTAACAACTCAGCAACTAAATGAAAGAGATACGCAACAATCTGATGAGTAATGTCCTCGGGTCACAGTGTGCTGTGTAGAGGATGGACAGTGTGCATACCATATGTTCCTTTACTCAGGCAATTCTATGAATGGATTGGACATTACAGTGCAACTGATGATTTACTCAGCTATGATTTGAGATTGGTCACTATGAGAGTTCCAAATACTTGACATACTACAATAATTGTACCAAGGTTATTTGGGCATCATATCATGTCAAGCCAGAGCAAGGGATTCTATTTGGTGGTAAAGTCTCTCAAAATGAGTGCAAAAGGTGATATCAAGCTGTATTATTTGTACTATTCATCATCAGGAGCCAAGAGAAATCTTGATGTCATCTTTCTATCCATCGCAACCATGACAACTTCTTGGGATGCACTTCTCTGAACAGGGTCAAGATATTTTTGATGGTAGGAGACTACCACTCCTGCAGTATAGATGGCAAGCAATGACAGAAACACACTTCTGAAACAGGGATTACATTGTAGAACTCAATATGTGCAACACATGGAATCCCAGACATTAGAATGTCAGACATCAGTTTACCAATAGTTTCACATCACATGGGTTTGTCCTTACTACCAGTTCACCAAGATACCTTCAAGTAAATGGTGAAGCTGAAAGAGGAGTATGTACAATTAAATTGTTGCTGAAGAGGAACAATGATGTCCAATTTGCACTTCTGAGAATCATTGTTCAACTCCACTCCAAAATGATTCAGGACTAAGGAGCTCCTATTTGGAAGAAGACTCAGAAGTGAATACTCTATACTCCCACTCACACTCATGCAATGAGGACATGATGATGATTTAGGATGAAGTGAGTGAGAAAGAAAATGCTTATCATTCTAGCCAGACGTGGCAAATTATACAAAGCAACCAAATTACCAAACCTGAACCAAAACTCAGTTTGGACTCACGATAATGATTATTATGGACAATTTATAAATAGCCACCATATTCATGGTTCTACCTCATTCATACAGATAATGGTAAGGTGAGACAAAACACATGCACATTAATTACCACATAGAAATAACATTCTACTACATGGAAGCGATTATCTACTCAAACAAACAGGCCAGAGATATTGCGTTCATCTACCAATCCAGATGGTTACCCAACTGGTGAACCTAATTATCTGCCGATTCCCCTCTGGCTCAACAGGTCTGAGAGGACATTCAGAGGACTCAATTCCTTCCACAACCCACCTCAAGAAAAAAATCAAAGAATCCAAACTGGCTCTCTTAGTCTGAGATTTGGTAGTTCACAAGCTTTGTACTTTGTCCTAGTTCCATGTCTGTCTAGGATTACATTTCTGTCAACGTGCCATATTAGCTCAACAAGACCAAGAGCATTGTGCATGTGGGAATGAAAATAAAGCTGTAAGATTTCACATGGGGCTTGCAGTGATGACAATACAGGGCAAAAGCTAATATTTAATCTACACAAAGCTACCAACTGGCAAAATTAAACTGCGGGTTTTGAAGTTATTTATTAAAATAAGGTGAATAGACTCTTAGGACTAGAATAAGAGGAAATGTCCCCACTCAGAAGGTTTTGCATCTTTGAAATTCTTTGTACTTGTTGACTATATTTAATATGTTATAGATTATTTGGGAATCGGGGATATGGGAATTGAGTGGGAAAATGAACAGGCTGGATGGGCTACTCTTATCACTCACTTTATGCTATCAACAATTATAAAGTGATACAAACTTCTGGAAATGGATATATACTAACAAAGGACTTTTCAGTATTATGCCAGAATGTCAGATGAATTTTAAACTAGAATAACAGTATTTTGGTTATTAATGCGAATTTTGCAAAGGAGAAACTGTGGTCAGCCCAGTATTCTGAGGTGAATATTTTAGCTTATTAGAATATTCACATTGATATGATATAAAATATTTGATCCTATTTCATCGTTTTCGGTCCATTTCAATGAACTGAGCATACGTTGTAACAGACTATATGAAATACCTATTTACTGAGGAGACCAAGCTAACATTTTATCCTCACCAATAACCAACAAATCTCAAGTTAAAGAATAATCTTCATTTATAAGAACAAGGTGAAAAAATTAAAAAAAAAGGCTTCTTACCTCCCAGCTTCAAATGTGAACCAAGTAGGATCCCGCCCATATCGTCTGAGCGCACTGAGAGGCCACGAAACCAGCTTTAGTCTGGGATTGTGGATGTCCCAAAGACAGATATTCTCATATGTTATCTGTAATGTGCATTCTCCATGTACATCCAGATTAGGAGATGGCATTAAATAGACATTGAACCTTTCTGAAAAAGCAAAGCGTGGAAGGATAAAGGATCATCAATCCTTCTTCATACATCACTTATCCACACCCCTCCAATAATCAAATTGCCTTTTAACATAAGGAGACAGTACTCCAGATGTAATCTCTCGGGTGGCAACTTCTGTTTCAAAATTACATCTCCAATTTAAATCCTAAAAATAATGCCTTATCCAATGGCAATATGTTTGTTAAAACTCCTCAAAGTCTCCCTTGGTCCAATGTCACAAGTGCATGGCTATTTAGCAGAAGGTTTTGCATCTTTAGAATTCTCTGTAGATGATTAATTATTGACTATATTCAATATTTTGTGGATTCTTTGGGGATCAGCAGATATGAGAATTGAATGGACATATCAATATTAATTGTCCTTCTACCCTAAAATTGTTACCTTACATTTCTCTATATAACAATGCCTGCCATCTCTCCAATCATGAATTAAACATGTCGAGATCCTTTTGAATCTTGACATTCATTAGTTACTATTTGGTGTCATCTGAAAATTTGGACAAATTTCACTGGTTTTAGTTTCACTCACATTTGACAGCCAACTGAACACCTTCACAAAGATCATTACTCTGCTGTCTAACAACCATCCAGTTATCAGGGTTACCCCCCACACGTAATTTGTTGATACTTGCAAACATCTTTGCAAAAGAGAACGGAGGAGAAAAACTATCCACAAAGACCAACAGACAGAAACAGAGTTATAATCGTAGGGTGGAATTTAATAGAGTTGGCAATTATCTGCTCCAATGGCTGGACAGCCCATGAGAACCCAGAGTCACCTCTTTTCATGATGACGAAGTGCTAAACAGGCATTCTACTGAGCAGTGATAGACCTTTACTGAGATTAAGGATCCCCGGGGAAGGGATGAGCATCAGACCTGATCACCAACAGCTTTCTATATATCAGATGCCAGCCATTCTCCATTGCTCAACAGCATCACTGGAGGGTGTTCAGTGGCTGTTGCCAGTACTAGCCCAACTCAAAGCCTACGAGCATTATGGACCTATGCAACAGCTGAGTTGTGGTCGAAGAGGGATCAGGGGTTAGGGCTTGTGGAGGTACGGGTCAGCAGCAAAAACACAGGGCTGGCTTTCAGACAGACCGCCTTCACAACGCCAGACTTATTCGATGGCCTCAAGTGGTGGTGGTTTGGGAAGCCCATCCACAGGTCTCCATCCATTCATCTGTCCTCCTAAGTAAATATACCCAGTCACAAAATCTGCCCCAGGAGAGAACATTAATCTCAAAGCCTATAAACCAATAATGAAACACTGATTTTAACTTTTACAGAACTTTTCTTGTAAAGTTAAAGGTCATTCTTCCAGATATGGGATTCACTCTCACTCAGTGCTACCAACGAGCAATAATATTTTTCCACTTCCAATTGATACTAAAAATCCATCACTAAGCCAATGCCATCTATGATCCCTTTAGCTCTGTCAAGCCTCACTTCTCAACCATGACTGTACTATTTGGCAGGCTTTCCCTCCACAGGAGTGACAGATCAATGAATCCCGCATTATTTCAAGCATCAGCAGCTTCACTCCAGTGCTACAATACAATATGGTCCTCAAATCCTGCTCATATATCCTATATCTACTTACTTCTTTTTGGCAATTCCATTAAATGATTTGCTTTTGAGCAGCAAATGTTTATTACAGCTTATATGAATACTAAGTGATACATACCTGTTTGCTCTCTCTGAACACCAGCTGTCAACAAATCAGGTTCTCCGAGGGTGATGTCATTGAGTCTGCTGCCCAAACACTCCATGCGCAGGAGCTTGCACCATTCCTCAGCCTCAAGCTCTATAAAAACACACAGAATTAATGCTTTATCAGCAAGAGCTGAATTTTACTTCGCAGTCCTGGAAAACCTCACCAATTGAACTAATGACTTCAAACTTCAATTTACGAATTATGTTTGGATCTGAGGTCTAGCAAAGAGCAAAGTAATGCTTTATGATCATAATGTTCATCCAAGTTTCAAAAGGCTACAGTCGCCAATGGCCTTTGAATTACAATAACCTAAAATTGAAATTGAATATTTATTGATGGCCTTTAACATTAAATGTGAATGTGAATATTTTCCTTCAGACTAATCAATTGTGTGATTAGTGACTAGATTCATAGGTGCTTGCTTGATATCAGCTCAATGATTATTGGGCAGTTTAAACCTGAATAATATGTCTAAATTAGTTGTTATTATTTTACAATCCTTAATGACAAAAGGAAATCAGAATCTGTCTTTACCCCCAAGTTAAGCTTAGATGCAAAGAAATTAGCGACTTATAAAACATTACTTTTCATGGATGTATCTTAATGCTGCTTTTATTCTAGGCCATTTCATTCACCAATCATGTGAGCAGTTATGCTATATTAAAATGAACTAGAGTTTATTTTATATCCCTGATAGTGAGATTCTTGTTACTCAGAATCTATGTATGCTATAATACCTGCTGTCAACATATTATGAATGAATTGGCATCAATGGAGTTATCACCATGAATTCTTCGATCTCGAACTACTATCACTGAAAGTCCAACAGACTTATTCAGGTAATCATGCAATCAAACTCTGACCTTGTCACCACACACATGAATTATGAAGGTGATCTCAGACCATTCCGATGTCTTCTGGCTGATCTCCCATTTGCCAACTCGACAAACCTCAGTACATCCAAATCTCTGCTAGCCAACCTACACCAGCTTTGTGTTTCAACACCTTGATTTTAAAATTATCTTTGTTTTCCAAACTGTCCTTGGTGTCACCCATTTCCATCGCTGTAACTTGCTCCAGCCACAAAATCCTTTGAGATCTCTGTGCTCCTCCAATTCTGGAGATTGTGACTTCAACTGCCTAGAAGTTAAGCTATGGAATTCTCTCCATAAATCTCTCTACCTCCCTGTCCTTTAAACCATGTCTTAAAAGTTATTTTTCTGAGAAAGCTTTGGCTATTTTTTCTGATATCACTTTGCATGAATGGTGTCAAATTTTGTTGGTAATGTTTCCCTGAAACATCTTAGGAAGTTTTAATGCATCAATGTTATTTAAATTAAAAAAAGTTGTCGTTCTCTAACTCCATCACAGTTACAGTGAAAGCACCATTCTGCTGTGAGACAGTATAATGAGCCATACTTGAAAATCAAATGATTATTTAATCAATTAATACTAATCACAACGTTTTTAGCTCTCTTAGCCTCTAGATGCTTTAACATATTCTTCTGAGGAAGTACTGGGTTCACCTTTAGGTATTTGCACCACCAATATTTTGCTGTAGGGCCCTTTCTTTTTGAAATCTCTGAGCCAACAAACCACGGGCTATTGGACAGTGGATAGTACTCAAGCTGAACCTTTTGAATCCTTGTCAAACTTCCATTCACATAATTATGTAGCAGCATCAAAGTAACAAAAACCTGCCAGATATTTTCTCTCCCGAGTAGGAATCCCTAACATGGTATATTAAGATTCAAGTAAATCATGATGATATAATTCATCAAATGACTCTGAATTCAGTTGGGAATAAGTGTGCAAAGAGACAGGTCTTAGACACTGCACTAGAGAGCTGTATTTAAGAACATACCATTTATAGTTTAAATAACAGTGGTAAAGTACATAATGAGTTGAAAAGCCTTACTTAGTGATAAGGGGATAGCAACCACAAAGATGGTGTTTATGCAGACACTCATATCCTGAGGTACTCCAGACCAGTGTCTCATGTGCAGATAGCAGTATTGGCTTGAACTTCAAGATAAAACATCTACCCGCACTCTGACTGAAAGAAGGTCACCAGTCTAAAAATCCAATGTAGGATCTCACCATTGTATATTGTTCAGTACAACAGCAAGCAAAACTCTTTTTCACCACATTTTACTTGGAAATTCATTCCACATATTTATTTCCCCTTATGCAGAAAAGTCCTCCTACAACTCAACAGTCCTCAAATTCAACCAATTTTTATCTATGTCCATATTATAATTTAAAATAGCACACCAACTTGACAGATTTCTGTTCCAGATGGGGCATTTAAAATACTTCTGGAATTTCTTTACTTATACAATTGCTCTAAAAAACAATGGTAAAGGTATTTTTCAATTTTACTCATAATTCAGTCAAAGGATGATATTAAACGTCTATTGGTGCTGTTTCCAACTCTTGGATGTTTCCCTGTGTCTCGGTGACCTGAACTGAATGTTCGCATTCAAAATGTAATCTAACCATAATCTATATAGGTTCGGTTTGACTTATAATGGAACAGGCATAGTCTTCTGTTGGTACATGTTTCAATCAAACAGTTGAGAACAGGCTAGACGAGAATAGTAATGAACAATAGCCTGGAGAGGATTACTTTATCCTGGGGAATAGCACAGAGCAAGAGCTATTATTTGATTTTTGGATGGGGTATGGATAAATGTTCTATGAGGAAGGATTGATGATTCGGTGTCCTCCCATCCTTTGCTTTTTCAGAGATTCAAAGTCTATTTTATATACTGATTTATTTTCGTTTTCTTTTAAAGTATTAGACAAGTAGGCATTGATTCCTTACCCTACAGTGTTAGCTTACCACCCCTAGTTAAATGTCTCACCTCAAAGTTTCAATTCCTATCAAAAGCCCTGACACAACAACTGTTGAATGACGAGACCAAAAAAAGTTGTACATTTATCTGTATTACTTGCTTCTCAAATGCTAATTGCATAAAATGTTTACATTCTCTGTATGCCAGTATTAGAGTCATCAAGTCGTAGAGACATACAGCATGGAAACAGACCCTTCAGTCCAACTCGTCCATGCCAACCAGATATCCATCCAGATGCCATTTAAATGTTGTAATTGTACCAGCCTCCATTACTTCCTCTGGCAGTTCATTCCATACACGCACCATCCTCTGCGTGAAAAGGTTGCCCCTTAGGTCCCTTTTAAATTTTTCCCCTTTCACCTTAAACCTATGCCCTTTAGTTTTGGACTCCCCTACCCTGGGGAAAAGAGCTTGGCTATTCACCCTATCCATTCCCTCAGAATTTTATAAACCTCTGTAAGGTCACCCCTCAGCCTCCGACGCACCACAGAAAATATACCCAGCCTATTCAGCCTTACCCAATGTTTGCCTATCAATAGGATGGTGAAGCTGGCTGATTGTCAACAAGGTTCTGTCTTGTAGCTATCCTTTGATGTTTTGTTACATAACACTCTATTTTCAGGGAATTAAGTGGTGCACTCCCAAGTAGCTACTGAAGTTGGGGGTGGGGGTGCAGAATGGCAGCTATACATTGTATCACATCAAGCAGTGCTGGTGCAGTATATCTTACTTTATTTTTGTATTATATTTAAAGTTTCATTCTTCTTCTCTTTGACTAGAAAGGTAAAGCTGAGAAGAAATTATAAAGTACTCAAGTATTTACATATTTCATAGGTAGATCATATTGGTTCAGACATGTGAAAGGCACCTACCTGACTCACACGCAAAAGTTTTTGAAGTATCATCACTGAAGATGATGAGTACAGCATGCCTCTTAGTGCCCTTTGGTAGTCTTGTCACATTCTTTATACTGCTGAGGTCTGTAACCTGAAAGATAAACATTTTACAGTTCTGAATATCAATCGTTAACAATAACCCATTTCCTTTATTCCTGGTAAAGAGGGGAATGAAAATCCAGAGGCACTGAAGAACAGTTAAAAAGTTTTGGTGCATATCTACTGGGGCAAAGATCTATTCCATTTGTAATCCAATATTTGCCTTAGGAAATTCTACTAATGGCAAAAGGAAAATATTATCATCAGGAAGAACAAAAAGCAATGACATATAGCATACATTAAAACCACATTCCAGCTATGCTACTTGTTTGGACACATCTCTGGGACAGATGGGACAAGAACTGAGATTGCCTTGCTCAGAGGTAGGGACACTACCACTGTGCTACTAGACCCCTTCCACCCATTCAATGCTGCTCCTGGGAATAAGCTGGACATATACACATTAAACAGTTGATGTGACGTTTCTGTGGACACAAAGATTTCTAAGGGGGTGGATCATAGTGAGGTTATCAAGGGGTGCTAAGAGGATGGCAGATTTAATGTCTAGAAAATTCCTCAGATCTATTTCCCACCTACCGGTATCACCCTGCTGAAAGTGGGGTTTGTGTCACATTCTAGTAGGCTAGAGGGGTATGAATCAAGAGAAGAACAATGCAATTCCCTGGCCATTGAGACCTAATGAGAGGATTGCATTTTGTATTCATATTCAAAATAAAGTGCAATAGCATTCAAAAAGTTAACGTGACAAAATGACTGACATTACCAGTCATATCTAAAACAACATTATGTATCAAAAAAAGTGTTATTCATCATAAAAGGGGTGGTGTGGGGAAGGGTTCAGCAAAATCTTTCTTGGGAACCTCTGGTTAAAGAGAATGGATATTGTAAAAACAATGATTAATATAAATTATACGATTGAGTGCTGTCAGATCCCACTGCTCATCAGGATTATGAGATCTTCATCACTAGCCCAATAGCTGTTATAAATCACACTGTCATGCATTCTATTTATATCACACTTCATTTAGAGATGATACATCAGAAAATTTTGGAATAATTTATCTTTTTCTGAACAATATATCTTCAGTGAAACAGAAGAATGGTACAATGGTGTCACTGAAAATGGAGTGAAAAGTTAATGTTTAACTTTCACATCCTTGAAGCTAATTTCATTGCCCATGCACCTATAAGTCCACAATGGAAAGGACAGATGTTTGAATATTCTGTGCTACAAGGCCCAATTTTCAGTCAGAAGTATACTTTATCTAGGCATTACAAATATCGTTATTTCACTTTCATTGGACACATCAATACTTTTTTTGAACATACTGTTTGGTTTAAATCAAGTGAAAATAACATGTTGGCTTCAGCTTGAATTTATGTTTCCTGGTCAGCTGCAATCCTTATTAAGTGCCAAAACCTATAACTTAACAGAAAAGTAATTTTCCCACTTCTTGATTAGTCATATTTTTTGATTTTTCAATCACAGTCATGGCTTCCTGATCAGCCAGCTACACATTAAACTTCACTCTAATCTGCCCAAGCCAAACATTGATAAACTCCAATAACACACAAAGAAGATTTTACTGAAAACTTCTCGATAACACGATAATAGGTGACTGTGACAACTTAGCAGTGAATTGAGTGCTCACGGACTTTAGTGTGTGTTCAAAATCTCATGATCCATGTGAAGCCTATTAATAAATCACTGATAAATACTTTTGAAACTAACATTAAGTTAACATATTACTATGCTAACTCAATACACACAGAATTCTAAATGATGGTTGTAAATTTTAGATTTGATTTATAAAATGGCAGGAGAAAATAACATGCTAACTCAAAAGTCTTGCATTTATATAATACTCATGATCTGAAGAAGCCTCAAAGTGCTTTGCAGCCAATAAAACAATTCTGAAGTGTGGTGACTCACGTAATGTAGGAAGAGTGGTAGCCAATTTTTGCATGTCAAGATTCCACAAATGATGCTGTTATGATATGCTCTGTTAGCAATCAATGAGGGATAAATATTGAACCTGATGGAAGGGAGAAATGCTCCTGCTCATCTTGATGGCATCATGTCACTTTTTATGTCCAACTGTGGAGCAGACAGAGGCTCAGTGTAACATTTCATTCCAAACACAGATGGCCAAAGGTGCAGTAGTCTTCTATACCGTACTGAGAGTGTCAGCCTGAATTTTGTGCTCACATTAAAGGCATGGGACTTCAACTCACAACATTTTGGCTCAGAAGTGATAGCACTATTGTTGAGTGAAGGTTGACAGAATTTCAAGCCACAATCTCTACATGATGTTCCAAATGTTCTGCCAATGCTACTAAATTAAGACTAGCAAAAGGCAGCTTGTTGATCAGCAAGACAGGAAATGGCAGAGATTGCCATCATTTAAAAGAAGCCCTTTTTTTTAAAAGCCATTGGATACTAAAATTGCAGATATTCTACTGACAGGTTGACTGTAGCTGAAGCCATTGGGTAGAGTTCTTGGACAGGGTAAAAAAGGTTTTCACAGAGTAAATGAGCAGAAGGCAGGACTTCCTTTTACCACTGATAATCACTTGAATGTGAAGATGGCAGAATGCAGAAATAGTGAGAGCATTGTTTCTAATGTCTGGTAACCATGCAAGAAAAATAATGAATGACCTCACCATAGCTGTTTAGTTAAGTTCTCCTTTTTATTTCTTTCTTAATCTCTGCATAGTCCCACTGTGAACAAACTTTCCCTATCCATCTTCCAATATCACTGTTACAACCACAACACCATACATTTCTGCATTCCCTTTTACTTTCATTTTAAAAATCTGCTACCATCCACACAATTGCTGTTCATTCTTCTCGATCAGCATCCTATGCTGAGCTGCCTTACCACAGAAGCTTTTAGCAGGGTGAGTACTAAGCCACTTGTATTTTCCTTCAAGGGGACAACAGCAGGGCAAGTACAAGGAGTAAGGAGTTCTTTCCTCATTGCTCACATTATTGGAAAAGATTCAGTATGCAGTAGTGTCATGGAGAGGATGGATACTACAAACATCACATGTTCTGTCATCCTTCCCTTCATAATTTCCTTGTCATCTTTTCTTTCTATTGAATTATCACACACACACTCAGTGTGACAACCTCATGATGCATAGCACTAGCTCTCATCTGTCAGATCCACGTTCCCTCTTCTTTCCTAAGCCCATTAAAATAGGCAGGGTAGGATGTTTCCCTTCCTGGTGGTGGCATGAGAGGTGGAGACTAAGGAAAACAATTGGATGAGATGATTCTGTAGCAATACTCACCTCCTTGCCATCCCAACAATGAAGCTCTGAGCAAAAGGATTCTTTGGGAAAATGTTTGTCATGTCACCAACTTAAGGCTATTAAATGGTCAATTAATGGCCACAGGAAGGCATCAACTGATCACCTCCTTGTTAATCTGTCGTCCTGGCAGGTGGGAAGCTTGTTGGAAACTTGCTGGCAAGTTGGATGGAGGCCTCCAACTGATTAAACCTGAGGGCAATTAGAGACATGAATGAAGTGCAAGTGGTGGCCCCTGAAAGTCATCCTCAGCAAAGGAGTTGAATAAATAATTTGCATCGGTCTTTGCAACAGAGTACTAACCACATTCCAAATATACTAAATAATCAAGGGACAATAATGGGAGAGGAAATAAAGACAATATCTATCACTAAAGAAATAGAACTAGGGAAGCTAATGGGGTCAAAGACCAATCAAGACATGATGGATATATCCTAGGACATTAAACAAAGTAGCTACAGAGAGAATTGATGCCCTGGGAGTAATCTTCCAAGAGTCCTTATATCTGGAAATGTGCCAAAGAATTGGAAAAGTTCCAATGTAATATATTTATTTGGAAAAAAAGGAGACACACAATATGGGTAACTATAGCGAGTTAGCTTAATATGTGTTTTGGCAAAATGTTACAGCCTATTATTAAAAAAAATATAGCAGAGCATTTAGAAATACATAATATAACAGTCAGTGTTAGTACTGTTTCATGAAGGGGAACTCATGCCTGACTAATTTACGAGAATTCTTTGAGGAAATAGCAAGCAGGATGATAAAGCGGAAGCAATAGATGTAATGCATTTGGAATTTCAGGAGGCATTTGATAAGGTACCTCATGTTAGACTTCTTAGTAAGATAAGACCATGATGTTTGGGTATTATGTTAGCATGAGCAGAGAACTGGCTAACTAATAAATGATGAAGAGTTGTGATAAGGGGGTCTTTTTCAGGATGGCAACCCGTAACTAGTGGAGTGCCAGAGAGATCAGGGCTGGGGCCAAAAGGTATTTGTATTGTACATTAATGAGTTTTGAGGAATGTGAATATACGAGTTGCAAATGACACAAAAATAGGTGGGAAGGCAAACAGTGAAGAAAACAGTCTGCAGAAGGATATAGATACTTTAGCAAGTGGTCAAAAACTGGGCAGGTGGAATATTCTACGGGAAAACATAAGGTTAAACACTTTAGCAGGGAGAAGAGAGTAGCTGATTATTATTTAAGGAGAAAGACTGCACAAAGCTTCGATGCACAGAGAGATTTGGAAGTCTTTGTGCATAAATCGTAAAAAGCCAGCATACAAGTTCAGTCCAAAATAAAGAAGGAAAATGGAACGTTAGCCTTTACTTCAAATGAAGTGGAGTTTAAAATGGGGAAGTCTTGCCAAAATAATACAAGACATTAGCTAGGCCACATCTGGAGTACTGTGAACAGTTTTGAGCCTTTATTTAAGGACAGCTATACCAAATTTGGAGGCAGTTCAGAGAAATCTCACTAGGTTGACCCTGATTGTGAAGGGATTGTCTTGTGAGGAGTGTTGAGTCATTTGTGCCTGTACTTAATGACATTTTCAAGACTCTGAGGTGACCTTATTGACAGACATAAGATTGTTAAGGCGCTTGACATGGTGGATGCAGAGAGACTATTTCCTCTTGTGTTAGAGACTAGAAACAGAGGGTATAGTTTCAAAATAAGAGATCACCATTTTACGACAGAGATGAGGAGGA